CCGCGACTGGCACGACGGTCGACCGCGATACGGTTTTGGACCTGGGCTTGGTTTCCTGTTCTGATTGGGTTTGCTGTTTGATATAAATAGCAACCACGTTTTTTAGGGTTTTATATTGATTGATTGGGTAGCTTGAAGGTGATTTTGAGCACAGAAAAGAGAGATTTTTCTGAGCAATTGTTTGAATGTTTAATTTTGAGAGATTTGTTTGAGAGTTTAGTTAAGTGATCAAATTGGTTGTTTGAGTTTGTAGCGTTATTTTGCATTGTTTGGCCTTCTCTCGGCGTTTGTTTGATTTGGTCTCTCGAAGCACATCGGTTTGGTTTTGGCTTCCGAAGCGCACAACCAGTGGTATCAGAGCCCAACGGTACATGTCCAAAAACAATGGGGGTCTATGACTCTACTATATATGTGCAACTAACCCTAATAATAATGGCACTTAAAGATGATCATAATAACAGCACCGTCAACAAGTTGACCCTAATTATCAAGCATATGTGAAATTGACCTAGCTGCGTTCTAGGGAGTAGTACAGAACACGGAGTATATTTGTGGACTACAGCTACACACAACGCGAGGAGCATCCGTGATCCTTTTACAATTAATGTAACTAATTACCATAAGAAAATTACATAGCTCCGATCAAAAAGTTCAGCACATAAACTCTTGGATCTAATTTTGGGTAGGAGGTCCTTCAACTACAGATCGTACTCCTCAGACTCAGTTTTCCGTTCGAGTTCAGCCACTTGTTAGCCAGTGGACAAGATCTACTGAAGAATTTTTTCCGATCAATTAGATGGAATAAACTATTAAGTCAACCAAGGTTAATAACGTCAGAGTGGGCGACTCGTAGCATATATGCCTTCCTACTTTCTTGGGGTATTATGCCCAATTTCATTCAGATTCAGTTCATGATGCATCCAATTTCAGGTCAAACCTAATCCACTTGATCCATAAACAAATCCAAATCCAAGTTTGTTTTTAAGATAAAGCTTAAGCATGAATGCATGCAAATGGACACACTAATTTTTCCGCAGGCATGAGTGAATGAGTGAAGAGATGTTGTGTTTACTTATGGTGGAAGCCTTGGATGTAAAGCTAAAGGGCCTTGAGGGATCTCCATTGCTCATCATCCAAACCCCCTCGGTAGCTTTAGGTAAAAATTTTGGTTGTTTAGTTGTTGCTTTCACAAAAAGGAGTGCCATGCCAACTAAGATCATGTACCATTTATGTGTTTGTTTACTCATTGAGACTTTGGCTATCATCCATCATGCGTGTAGGGCCCACCAAACAAGCATAAAATGACATGGAGAATTTAGCTCTTTAGGACTAGGACAAAAAGGTTCTCAAGATTTTCTAATTGGCTCAAAGCCTTTCTAAGGAATCTATCAACCTTCTTGTTTAGTTTTGAGTAGGTTTAATTTGCTGTATATATCTTGTGCATGTGATAATTGAAATGCTCACTCCATACAAACTTTTAAAAGCAAGGAGCTTCTCTATGTAGAGGAATATGTCTTGGTGCTAGCTAGTAGAGAGGTAAAATGTGAGGAATATATCTTGGCTATGTTTTGAATGATCCGCAAATACTCGAAATACGAGTGCATTCTCAGGATATTAGAGATTGTTTGTATTGAGGACAAAATGAAAAAAAAAATCCACTGAAATAAGTTAGTAACATGCGATGAAAATCATTAAATACAACATGTAGAAAAAATAACAAGGTTATAGTTAATGAGCAAGAAGAATAAACGTATTACTAAGTGAACTTAGTTGAAAACAGTAAAAGGATACAATAGTAGATAACATAACAAACATTCCTTAATAGAACTAATTGAAAGAATAAGATTGACGCACAGCAAAAAAATTTTGGGATAAGAGATGCGCAAGGGGGACATAGTTTATTGTTCTATAGTAATTTCATAGATTTTTTTTGAAGTAATAATTTCATAGATTTAGGTCAAATATAAGATGTCAAAGATTTATTGCCTAGGGAGACCCACCATAGAAGCAAATCAAATCTTTTTCCCCCCCTTTGCATCATCAAATTTGTTTAAGGACCTTTAAGTCCTAAAGTGAAAATAAAATATGGTTGAGAGGGTGGGACTTCTTCATTAACTTTATTCTAAAGTTTAGATCTAAGTGTTTGCAGCTTTCAATGTCAAACTAGTTGTATAAGAGTCACGGGTAACAAATAGGAAGTCCTCATT